ATTGACCACTCAGATGGAGGGGAAAGATCAGAGACTGGCCTCACAGAAACATGAGTTCTGTGGGGACTAGAAAAGGGGGGTGAGTGATGAATTGACACTCACAGCATGTTCATTCTGTACACAGGGCACTGGGCTAGGTATTTTATGCACATTACCTCGTCTTGTAACATCTCTAAAAGGTTATAATTAACCCTAATTACAGACTTTTTAAATGAAATAAATGAAGCTCAGAAACTGCTCAATAATATGCCTAAGTTCACACAGTTAGAAAAAAGGGTGAACTCAGAATTTATTTTTACCCAAAGCTATGACTTTTTCCACTATATTATAATGTCTGGCTCATAGTAGTGCTTAATAAATATTGAGTTCCCCTTTCCATTGTCCTTCATTGGCTTTTTAAAATAAAATAACATACCAAAAACTATATTCTCCAAACTCATGATGGATATAGGGATTCATGAGGGAAGATAAAGTTATCTGCTTAAGTTCGCTGTGCAAGTTGAAATGAGAAAATATTTCAAGGAACCACTTCAGTTCACTCTCCAGAGATGAGCTGGCCAATACCCCATAGGGCTAGATAGGACACTGAACAATGAGGTGATAAATAAGCAAAGTAAGCAATGTTTTTACAGGCTCCTCTGAAGTATTCCCTACACCATTTTTCAAATGACAATTTACCTGCCCAGATTAAGTACAAATCAATGTCTGGCATATTCCTTAAGTACTGTAATGATCAGAAAAACACAAGAGAGGTGGGTTAATAAAGGAAGGTTTTTTGGCATACATATTTTGCCAGTAATTCTATAAGACAACCTGAACTGGCAGAGGACAGTGGACAGATACACACAAAGGCATGGACAGGGATAAGTGCATCTTGCATGTACATATTTGTGTAATAGGAGTGGAGGCACCATTAATGGACCTAAGTATTTATGGCCCATTAATCAAATATCCTACATGCAAATTAAAATGTGATGAGAAGGAAGTGAGCAAATATGATATAGAGATAAAACATATCTACCAGATACTTGAACAAGCGGAGGGTCTGTTAGCAAAGAGAAATAGGAAATTGGCTTTTGGCAGACAACAACAGTGCCTGCCACTTCATATCTATAATGGGGAGAACGTTTATCTTGTATGGTTGTTGTACGGATTAGAGAGATTTAAATCACCTGACAAAGTACCTGACAACGTACTCAAGGAGTATTTGCTGTTGTTGTTTCTAAGCACTCCATGATTCTGTTTTTAGAGCTTATGAACATTCTGTTTGGGGACAATGTTGGATATTATTAGCACTGCTTTGGTATATTAATTCAAAATGTGCCTGGCACATAATAGGAACTTAATAAAAATCTGTTGAAAGAATGAATTAATACATTTTAGCTCTCTTCTCTTTAAATATAACAAATAAAAGAACATACAAGTTTGTTACATCTGGCCCTGTGGAAAGGTCTACTTTTCAACTCAAGTTAGCAGAAAGAATGCAGCAAAAGTGAAATAATGATTTCAAAATGGAAATGTCGTCGTGTGTTGCATACGTGCCAAAGAGAAAAACTTCATAGTGGTGGATACGTGCTCTGTAATGGGGAAATGTTCTTACAGACGACTTCCAGTTTTCACAGACCGTGTGGCTGTGTTGCAGTAAAGTTATTGAACTAAGAATTGTCTAAGAAAATTTTGGTCCCAAAGATTCCTAGATTATTTTCTTCAACTCATACATTTTATTTTGCAATATTTTAATGGTACAGAACAAGTATCTCATACAAATGAGATAAATTAATTTAACCTCTGTTTTCATAAAATAGCCAATACTCTATGTTACATGTCAGCAAAACATCCAAGTTGTAGCTGTAGGAAATAGAGGCCTGAGTAAATGTGGCTGCTATCATTACTTTGGCCCTCTAATCCTTATTTCCTCTAAATTCCATTTTTGATAGAATCCAGCATTTCCCAAAATATGCTCCATGGAAGACTAGCATATTTTTGGACCATAAGACGCACCTAGGTTTTAGAGGAGGTAAAAAGGAAAAAATTTTTGAAGCAAAAAATGTAGTAAAATATTTAATAACATAAATAACATAATATTCCACCAATGTAAATGTAAACAGAATTCAACAGCAGCATTAACAACCATTATTCCTCCCAAATTGGGGAGGGGTGCGTCTTATGGTCCGAAAAAGTACTGTATGTCTGAAAAATGTGAATAGGTATCATATAATAAAGAAGGTTTGAGCTCCAGTAAAATTAGAAAACCCTACGTTCAGAAAGTTAAAGTTCTTTACTCTAAACTTCTCTTTGATACATTAATGTACGGAAGCTCCAGGAGGAAGCTGTAGTCAGTGTTTCTCCATCTTTAACCACCCCTTTCTGTCCCCCTTGCCCCCCATGCCCCAAATTAAATATTAAGGAAAAAGGTTTGGTTGGGTAGAGTTGAATTTTGTAGGACCACAAACTATCGTACTAAGATTTTTTTGCCCCCCCCAACCAACTTTCCCCTCCCTGGGAATGACATCACCTCAGTTGAGAACGCACGCTCCTCAGACAGGTTTGACCATTGACCTTTGAAGTGGACCGATACTCCCAGGAACATACTTGGGAAGCCCTGAATTAGTCAGCATGGGATATTTTAACACTTCATCGTTCTCTTATGATTCAAGGAGTGTCTTCTCTTTCATACTAAACTTCCTGGTGCTAAAAGGTAAGTTGAAGCATATTAAAATTTTTAATAGTTTATTTGAGCAAAAATTGATTCCAATCTGGCAGCACCAAATGGAAAATAATTAGGAGCACTCCACTAACAAGAGCTAGAGAGAGACTTTATAGAGAAGATGCCAAAGGAAAGCAAGGAGATTATTTGATTGGCTACAGCTTAAGTGGCTGCCTTATTTGGAAAAGCCTAGCTGGCTATTTGTAGTTGGTTGTCCTTAGGTTTCAATTTGTTAGCCTTGAGAAGTTTATAGGCTTAGGTTTTGGTTCCCTTATGTAGAACCCTAAACCATCGGAACCACCTCAGCCTAATGCCCTCCTCATTTAATTAATTTAACACTGGGATAAGACTAGAATAAGGACAGGAGTTCAATAAAACTTGTTGAGAAAATTTGTATCTGCCTCTGCTCTGGCCATTATCCTTAGTTTGTGGTTAGAATTTTATGCCAGTCATTTTTTTTTAAATTATGGTAAAACATACTTAATGTACACTAATCTTAAGTGTACCGCTTAGTGAATTTTCAGATTTGTACACATGCCTAGTTCAGGATTTAAGTACTGAATTGTTGATGAGAGAAACTTGGACCTTTGGCCCCCTGTCATCTGTATACTGTGGTTTTCAACTTTAGTAAAGTTCACTGAAGAACATGCCTAAGGGAGCTGGTATATCCCTGCTCTCAGAGAGCCTCATTCAGGGGGTTTGGGATATAATCTGGGGTTTGAAATAAAGCCCCCCAGGTGATTCTGATACAAGGCCATCCGTCAGGTCGTCAGGTCGTCCATCAGGTCGTCCGTGGTCACACTATCCAGCCTCCCTGCAGGATAAAAGTCAAGTTCTCAACAACGCATTTGCGTTCTCAACAATGCAAATTTTCCTTTGACCCAACCCCCCCCCCTCAGGTTCATCCCTCGGTAGTGTCTACCATGTCAAATTATTCCCCTCTTCTCAGCAGCTCATACATTCATTACCCTTACTTTGAACCCATTCATGTTTACCCTCACTTTGAATCATCTGTCTATGCTTATTTACACAGCAGGTTTCCATGCGGCCTTCACGACAAAGCTACGTTGTCATCTCTGGGAGGTCGTCTTAACCTCACCAGGCAGAATCAGTTGCCCCTCATTGTTTATCCAGAACTTCATTCAAAATCCTGTTATAATACTGATCACACAATATGATTTTTAAAATCTTCAGTTTCGAAGTAAGAAGGAAGGAGCACGTCCAGCTCCTCCCTGAACCTCCGACCCCACACAGGACCAGCACACAGTGGGTGCACAAGTGAATGTATGCCACTGATTGACATGGGGACTCACTGAGGTCTCACTGTCCAGGCTGCTGAGACTGCACTGCGAGCTCCCTGTGGGGGACAGAGGATTTCTGATTTATTTTCATTAATATCGAAAATCATGGCAGGGATTCAGTAATCAATGAAAAAATACCCAATGAATGAAAATAATCAGCCCCCTCCCCCCACAACTTACTTCCATGTTCACTAAGCCCTCACTACAACTCTCTGAGGAAAAATAAAATCAAATCAGTGTTGGGAGGAGGGAAATATCACCCCCACCTGCCAGGTAAGAGTATCATGTTAAGCTGGAAGCCTTAAGACTGGCCTGCAGCGCCGGGTTCTTAGTTCTCTCTGCCCACTGCCTTCAGAGGATTCTCTGTTGCCACGGAGATGGCCGTTTCTTCCAGCGGGCGCGTTGGGCGAGGGCTCCCACAAGGCCTCTCAGGAAGCCAACTGCACATGGCGGCCCTTCGCCCTCTGGCCAACGTCCTCATCTATTTACTCGCCTATTCTTGTGTTTACTCATGCTTGTACTTGCTGATTTATTTGTTCAGCATCTTCATAGAGGACTAGGTAGCAGAGCTGCCACTTGGCACGGTGAGCCTCACTGACCCCACCACGGTAAGACCTAGGGACTGCGGCCCACTGGCTTGGGAAGGCCGGGGGACGGGGCTCCTGCGGTTGCCAGAAGCCCCTTCTCCGGAAGGAGCGACGGAGGGGCGGAGTACGCCCTGGAGGTCAGGTGCCCTGCGATTCTCCTAATTAAACTCTCGCGAGTGGGATTCGAAGACCGCGCGCCCACCCAGCCCATAGCAGCTGCGCAGGCGCGGTGAGAGCTTTGGAAGAAACCGGGTGGGTGCCTAGTTAGCGGCCCCTGGGCCCCGACCGTTGGTTCGGCGGGCTCGCGAGGGAAGCTCACTGCGCATGTGCACCAGTTCTGCGGCCCCAAGGGAGGAAAGATCCCAGGCTGAAGGACTAGTGTGATTGCTTACACGGAGAGTGACCATGTGTGACGCGGGCAGTTACCCAGCCCTGCAGGCAAGAAGTGTGGGCAGAAGCAAGGGCAGGCTGTGGGCCGCGGCGGCCGCAGAGGAACAAAGCTATGAATATGGCTCCACGAGATACCTGCTGGTATGCGGCCTGGGCGGGATGGTGAGCTGTGGGCTGACGCACACGGCCATTGTGCCCCTGGACCTGGTCAAGTGCCGCATGCAGGTGGACCCCGACAAGTACAAGGGCATCCTGAGCGGCTTTAGTGTGACGCTGCGGGATGAGGGGCTGCGCGGCCTGGCCCGAGGCTGGGCCCCGACCTTTTTTGGCTACTCCATGCAGGGCCTCTTCAAGTTCGGCCTCTACGAGGTCTTCAAGATCCGCTACGCGGAACTCCTGGGCGTGAAGAAGGCGTACGAATGGAGAACCGGCCTGTACCTGGCCGCCTCGGCCAGCGCCGAATTCTTCGCCGACGTGGCCCTGGCGCCCATGGAGGCGGTGAAGGTCCGCGTCCAGACGCAGCCGGGCTACGCCAGCACGCTGCGGACCGCGGCCCCCAGGATGTACAGGGAGGAGGGCCTGTGGGCCTTCTACAAAGGCGTGGCGCCGCTCTGGATGAGGCAGATCCCCTACACCATGATGAAGTTCGCCTGCTTCGAGCGCACCGTGGAGGCCCTCTACAAGTACGTCGTGCCCAAGCCCCAGAGCCAGTGCACCAAAGCTGAGCAGCTCGCCGTAACCTTCGTGGCCGGCTACATTGCTGGCATCTTCTGCGCCGTTGTGTCCCACCCGGCCGATTCCGTAGTCTCCGTTTTGAACAAGGAAAAAGGCAGCACGGCGTTTGGAGTTCTCCGCAAACTGGGGTTTGAGGGCGTGTGGAAGGGCCTGTTCGCCCGGATCATCATGATTGGCACCCTGACAGCGCTGCAGTGGTTCATCTATGACTCTGTTAAGGTCTATTTCAAGTTGCCTCGCCCTCCAGTCGCTCAAGCACCGGAATCCCTCGAGAAGCAGAAGTAGGCGTGGATTTGTCAAGTCCAATAGCTACCATCGGCCCATATTTCGATTCGGGGGGAGAGCGTGTTCAGACAGTACTAGAGTGTAAAGTGTTAACATTTTTGGGAGAGGTGATTTAATATGCAGTCCGAATCCTCTTTATATGATTGATTCTTGTTTGGCAGCCCAAGGGGATAGCAACCGTTTCATTCACAACCATTATCTTTGGGAAGTCGCCATGGTTGCTTTAACTGAATTGTTTTTCAACAATTATAGGGGGAAAATGTCTTAACAAGAATTAATGTTAGGTAATTCTGTGTCTGTAGATAGTATATCCTTAGATGCAGTGGTGATTATCCAAGCATCACTACTGAATAGCCTACTATTGAGATTTTAAGGTCAGCACTATATGGGAGAGGGAACAAAATAAAATTCTGCTACATGGCATTCATCTCAATAGAAATCGTGTACCTGTTGAATAGATGAAGGACTCATTCGGTATTTCCTGTTCATGTCCATCATAGTTTAAAAATTATTAAAGGTTAAATTGTGACTTACAGTGCCTGATAGCTAAGAATGCATGCATTGTTTTCAGAGAGGCATGACATGAGAAGATCAGCCTTTTTTCATTTTGCTTTGTCCAGTTCCCTTCCCGAGGTTGCTAGTTAGGGCATAGCTCTCCCCAGGAAGTGCTACAATTGGATCAATGTGGGGAACCAAAGTGAGATGAAGGGCAGGCTCTGGGAATAAATATGTAAAGAAAAGCCTCTGTTCTCTATTATTTCTTCTGTGTAACTCAGCTTTCAACAGCCATACATCCAAAGAAGATCATACCACCCTGACATTAAAACACACACACACACACACACACACACACACACACACACACACACAATCCTACAAATTCCAACAATTGTTTGTTGAATATTAAAGAATGGGTGACTTTGGAAGGAAAATCTTACTTTCCTTACTTTTAATGTAACAAATGTCATTCATTTAATTTGGTAGATGTTTCAGTGATCTTTATAGTGATTGAGGTTCATAATTTTTTTTGAAGTTATAAGTCACATTTTCAGCTTTCTGTAGTCTTCACATCTCCAGGGAAATTTTACTGTTGGTGAAGTTCTGTGAATTTGAGATGTTTTTAAACTGTGAATAAGGAATAAATGCCATTATACTTTGTATAACTTACCAAAATATTACATGATTGCCTTAATAATTTGTGTTAAAGACTACAAACTTAGAATATATTAGTGGTTTCACCACGTGATAAATTGCTTAATGGTTAACAAGTTATAAAGTGTCTAGAGCTGTCTTGGATAATAAAGAGCTTGGAGGGAAAATGTCACAACTTGTGAATGAGATGGAATTTTATATTTAGTGCTTCTATTTTGTTAATTATTGGGGAGAATTCAGGGGAAGGGCCATTACTAATTGTGAAGACATTTTTGCTCTCCTTAGGTGGTTAGTGTCCAGGTGTGTTGAAAATAATAGTTCTCAGTGAAGAAGAATGATAAATATTTTACATTCGGCCTCCACATTTTTATAAGATGTTAAAACGAATATCTTTCCATCTAATATTGTCCTGTAAAATGTAGGAAGTTGCTTTGGTCAACACTTTATTAAGTGAAGAATTTTCTATCAGTAGTGTAATTTAGGGAATAACTGCAAAATCTATGGAGTTTCAAAGCAGTAAGAGACCTCTTGCTCTGGTCTGTGGTATTTCATGATTGCTCTGCTGACAGTTCCCAGTAATTTCTGTAACATACACTGCTTATGTTCAGAGAAGTATGATCTAAGGAGAGCTGTTTGCCGTGGTTCTGACTGTTGTGGACGTGGTAAAGAAAATGGGTTTACTTAATGTGACAGCAGTTTTCATATTTAGTCCCCAGATTTCTGTTCACCATTTTTTGTGAGTGGTAGTTTACAAATGTTCATCTGAACAAATAGGGCCCAGGATAGCTAACAACGAAGAATAAAAGATAAGTAAAGCAAACATGAGCTCAGAATCATTAAGGATTTTTCCTACTTATTATTCCTCTGGGATAAATTAAATGTCACTGTTTTACCTGTTTATAATAATTACTCTGTGAAATCATGCATCTCTTTTAGGATTAGAAAAGCCATAGAATACATCTAGTGTTGTTAGACATTTTATATTTATTTTCTCATAATCTGGATCCTTGCATAATCCTGTTCTACTTTCACATACTCAGAGGCTAGGTAACTCGCTCAGAGTCATGCAGCTGAGTGGTATAGCCTGAACCAGAGTGCACATTTTCTCATTACTTTCGTCCACCCTCTTGGCATAATGGCTATCCTTTTTGTAAATTTCCTTTTATAGTACCTGCAAATCATTTTTTAAAATTTTGTGGTTGTATATATTATACATTTTCCTAATCTTTCACTAATGGAAAGTTTGTACTATGTGTCTCAATTGTGAAAAAAGCCCTATAACATAGAAGTAATCAAACTGCAAAATACTTAAATGCATTTCATTTAATATTTAAATTATTTTTTATACCAGGTCAATGCCTCAATCCTAACTTGAAGGAACTGATGATCATAATCACAGTGCTTTTAAACTTTTTTTTTAAGTTGTGGTCTTGCAATAAAGAGGCTTTATTCTATCACATTTTCTAATTTTTTCCCTCTAAACTTTAATTTCTACCATCAAAAAAGCTGGCTTAGGCTATTTATCTAGGTGATGATTAAAGTAGCTTTTTCAAGTATATGAAATTAATTGTATGACGGGGTACTGTAATCTTATCCATTGATCTGTCCTTTGAGAAGTGAGTAAAGAGAGTAAGTAAAATCTTAAAAAACAAAGGCCATATTTACATGTTAGTACCACACTGATAAAGATGGAAAGCAATCAAGATATTGATGCTATGAGTATTTTTTCTTGCTGTGCAAACAAGGCTTTAGAAAGGATTTCTTTCAAAGGCAAAAATAATCACAGAAGTCAGGTGGTCACATTTTTTAATTTATTAATTATGTCATTACAGTTATTCTATTCCCCCTTCATTCCCCTCCACCCTGCACACCCCTCCCCCACCATTCCCCCCTTTAGTTTATGACCACATGTCTCAAGTTCTTAGGATTCTATATTTCCCATACTATTCTTGCCCTCCCCCCTATCTATTTTCTACCTACCGTCTATGCTACTTATTTTCTGTACCTTCTCCCCTCTTCTCCTTCTCCCACTCCCCTGTTGCTAACCCTCCATGTGATCTTCATTTCTATGGTTCTGCTCCTGATCTAGCTGTCCTCTTAGTTTGCTTTTATTTTAGGTGTGGTTCTTAATAACTGTGAATTTGCTGTCCTTTCACTGTTCATCTTTTTTATCTTCATTTTCTTAGATAAGTCCCTTTAATATTTCATATAATAAGAGCTTGGTGATGATGAACTCCTTGAATTTGATCTTATCTGAGAAGCACTTTATCTGCCCTTCCATTCTAAATGATAGCTTTGCTGGATAGATCAATCTTGGATGTAGGTCTTTGGATTTCATGGTCTTGGAATACTTCTTTCCAGCCCCTTCTTGCCTGTAAGGTTTCTTTTGAGAAATCTGCTGACAGTCCGATGGGAACTCCTTTGTAGGTGACTGTCCCCTTATCTCTTGCTGCTTCTAGAATTCTCTCCTTCATTTTAATCTTGGCTAATGCAATGGTGATGTGCCTTGGTGTGTTCTTCCTTGGGTCCAAATTCTTTGGGATTCTCTGAGCTTCCTGGATTTCCTGGGAGTCTATTTCTTTTTCCATATTGGGGAAGTTCTCCTTTATTATTTGTTCAGATAAGTCTTCCACTTGCTCTTCCTCTTCCCCTTCTGGTATCCCTATAATTCAGATGTTGGAACGTTTTAAGATGTCCTGAAGGTTCCTAAGCCTCTCCTCATTTTTTTGAATTCTTGTTTCTTCATCCTTTTCTGTTTGGTAATTTTTTTCCTCTTTCTGGTCTACTCCTTTGATTTGAGTCCCAGTTTCCTTTCCATTACTATTGGTTTCCTGTGCATTTTCCTTCATTTCAGTTAGTTTCGCCTTCATATGTTCCTCTAATTTGTGACTAAAATCAGCCAGTTCTGTGAGCATCCTGATCACCAGTGTTTTGAACTGTGCATCTGAAAGTTTGGCTATTTCTTCATCACTTAGATTTATTGGCTCTGGGGCTCTGAGTTGTTCCTGAGCCATGTTTTGATCTGTTTGTGCCTATTACATATGAGGAGCAGAGTCTTAGTTGTTCACCAGGGTGGGGCCACCCAGGTCGCTGGTTTGTGACGCTGTAGGTGGGGGCGTGGTCAGAGAGGGACAATGGCGGTTCCCTCTGCTGCTTCCTGCTGCTGAGGCCTGCGCCACCCATATGACTGCTCACTCCTTCATTGGTTTATTTGCGCAGGAATGTGCAACCTCGATCAGCCATCAGTAGGTCCCTCTTGCGCCTTCAGTGGGTCCACCTGCTTCTCCACACCTGGGATCTGCCCACAGCTGCTGGCACACCTGGGTAGTGTGCCTGGGTCAGTCCGGTGGATCTTTCCTGCCCCACCCCGCTCTGCTGCTGGCTCTGCCCCTCCCCCTCATACCGATTTGGCTGAAGGGTTTGTTGTTGTCAGACTTCCGTGTAGTTCAATTTTCTGTGGTATGGCTGCATTTTTGTTGCTAAAACTTTGTTGTTTTTAAACTTGGTTGTGCGAGAAGGCGCAGTGCTTCCACCTACGCCTCCATCTTGGCGGAAGTCCAGGTGGTCACATTTTGATAAGCAGCCATTCAGTGGTAATATGCTTGTTTTATGTGGTCTTAAAGATCAATTATTTTTTTAATTCATGAGCAAAGAACTGTTCAAAAGGAAATTTAAATTTCAATATTATTTAGAAGGCTTCGTCTTGTTTTTTTTTTTTGAATGCTACTAATATTTGGGAGTGTTGGTGAGTAGGGAGGGTACTAGCAATGTGATTTTAACTAAGGTTTGTGTGTGTTTGTGTCCATTTGGTTACCATATTTTTGAGGCCTTCAGTGATAAAGAGTATC